AAAATATGTTAGTGCTAATACTCGTTTATCTTTCTGCGAGAGCCCGACTGCTCTACCTCGTCGTCACCCTATCTTCCACGTTTTGGGGGTCCTCCCTCTTCATGATCAAGTTGCTTCGTGCTCTCCTCCATCTCGAAGTCTTTGATACTTAAGTCCCCTGTCAATCTTCCTTCTACTGCTAGTTTTGCTGCGAGCTTGAGGCCTAGGTGTAACACACGCTTTAGGGACTATGAATCCCACCGCAAATTGCTAGTCAAATTAGTTATCTCATTACTCTAAAATTTCTTTATTACATTGTGCGGTGAAATTACAATGTAAGAAACTTTAAAACGCCTTGGGAAAGTCTCTACCGCATCCTGCCTTGCCATCCTATGAGCCATCTGACCACCGGATCTCCTATCCTGCAGGCCTGGCAAAGGGGGTGAGTATTGAATACTCAGTAAGATGGTCTTCACCGTCTCACGACCTAATGCAACCTAATTTACCTTGATAACTATTACTCCCACATGATGCCTTAGCACCATGTGCCACAACACTCGGTAGCAACTAGGTAAGCCCACCGCTTGCTAGTTATTAGCACTCACATTCGTAACAAGGCAAGCCCACTGGCTACCTCCTAGTTACCAACTCTTAGTAGTATGAAGTTGTCCCACCAGACATATTCAGAGTACTTTCACACACACACTCTTGGCCATGGGCCCAACATAGTTGCCCGTCGGCGAACTTTCACCACTCTGATCCCTCTGGGCCCTCCCGGCCATCCCCTTAGGGCTGCCAGGTCTTCGTGTCACTTTTTCAGGTAAAACACAAAAAAAATCGGCGACGGCTGCCCATACAACCGCCCCTATACAATTATTAACAGTAGCATTGTGGACCTACTATCCTACCAATTCGTATGCATTACTACTTTAGACTCTCCTAAGCTTCACAATCATTTCTCTACTCCATTTTCACATAATCCACTCTTCTACGTTCTCAAGCAGTAGCTGAAGCATTTCAAACAATACCTTTTCCCCGTATGGTCTGCCCTAAGTAAGCATGGATATCCCAATAAGTTACCCATGACACATCGATGGCCATACGGTAGCCGTTCCTACAGAAATTCACATATAAGATTATCTATTAATTGTGGATAGCTCGTGGTACCAACTTGTACCGCGTACAGCCCAAGCGATACGATGTCTATCCTCTATCCCCTTGGTTACAAGCCATCTAACTTGAGTTCGTCAAACCTCTCTCACTCTTCTCTTGCTAGACCTTGCTTACATCCATGCGACGGATTAGCTAAGGTAGTCTAGAATAACCATTAGGTCACCCTAGTAGTTGCCCGCTGGTTCACAACAATCTCTAACAGACTGTCAAACACTACAGACAAGCGAACCATCGGGTAGAATTACTTTCGTGGAGCGGTAGCTCTACCATAGCTCTAATTCCAAGGTTTAATGATCAGTTAGTCTTTCTACCATTCAACTTCCTGGACTAACTTCTCATTTGGCCCAAGGTAGTTTCCCTAGGAAGTAGCTTTGCCAATGTAAGACTCACTCACTAATAAACCTAACATTATGAAATGTGATCCAGGCCATAAACTCTCTACGGAGTTCTTTTCCGCAATCACCAAACAACGAGTCATCCTCGGCATTGGTTGAAACCATGCTTCCTCGAGGCTAAGGTCGAATCCCACGCCCGGACTACCCTTAGCGCTTGTATCCTAACCAATAGCCCAACGTGAATAGGTCTACATAACTTGCCAAGGTCCCAGACCTTATCAAGCTATCTGCCTGACTTCACCTACGAGTCCATAGTCAGGCCCTCTGCGGTCTGACCGGATGCTCTGCCACCGCACTATTTGGTCAAGCCTTCGCCTGCCAGTCCAGTCTCGTATAATGCAGACCCAGGCTGCCTTGGTCTCTCTACCAAGGTCTTGCGAATCCATGGTACAACTTATGTCGGGTATGTGTTGGGTTTCAGCCAATACGCCATTGCTGCCCATCTCCAGACTCTCCGCCATGCCCACCTCGATACTCTATCGAGTTGCGGCATGATTGCTACCAACACCGACACTCCACCGCGGTGCTGTAGAGGCATCACTGAACCATATCAAGCCCTCTTGAGACGCGGCACGATGTCTATCGATCCGCGGCACGATACCATATTGTTGCGGTATAATCTCTGATCATGGCGTGATATAGTACCTTCGTGTGGCACGGCTCGCTGTCTTATCGTAACGTGGCACGTCCCATACCGTGATACGCTACCTTGTATTAGCTCTCAGTTAAGGCATCAACGAGGCCCCCTCAGGCCATACCGATGCCCTACCTAGACGTCACTATAGTCTGGATTGAGACATTCATCGAGGCACCCCGAGGCCATACCGATGTTCTCTTTCCGCTTAGGCAAGTGCTACCGTTACCAGACCGGGTGCCTGCCAATACGTGACCTGATCCCTCCTCATTCCTGTATCGCAGCCCCTCGCCATCCACGAGACCCTTCTCGTGCTCGACCGTAGTCGAGTGGAATTTGGCCACTACCCTACACTTGTCGAGCATCACATCCGGATCCCTTATCCGGATCGAGTTACCTCGACCACTACCTAGCCTATGACCCCATACTACTAAAACACCCTATGAAAGCAATAATAATAAAGGACAGGAAAGGAAGGATTAGGTACAGATCGCGCCTTACCTCAACCGTAAACCTTCTCTGCCTCGGGGCTGGGGTGCTGAGTTTCTTCTTAAGCTCCTCCGATTCTTCCTTCCTAAGCGTTTACCTTTGGCTCTGGAAGAGAAGAATGATTTTGGTGTGTAAAATATGAGCTCCCTATCTCCCTATTTATACCCTACGAAAATCCCCCTAGATAATATTTACTTTCTTTATTTTTCTCCACCTCCTTACTACACAGGCCAACCCCGTCTAGCCACCACGTTTTTCCTTCCTTCCCAAGGAATAACTAGGGTTTCCTTCCCCTTTCCCACGTAACTAAAAATTCCAGGCCCGACCATCAGGCCTGTTAGGCTATTACCTAGTTTGACAGGATTCCTGTCACAGTTAAGCTGGCTATACTCCTAAGTTTTCCTACCGAACCTTCTACCGCAGGTTCGCGGTGTTAAAAATTCTTCTCCCTTGAACTGGATCCATTCTTGGATCAAAGACGAGTACCCCTTTGGCTCACTATGGGGCCTAACCGCTAAGACGCGTTGTCTTTTCGTTCCTCCTCAACTCAATGCTCATCCTAAACTTTAGTCTAGAATAAATATTGATTATATTATTGAGTAAAACAAAAAGCCAATACATCTTTTAGCTAGGTGAGAATATATTGCAACATGGAAATTAAGGAAACCTAAGCCGAAAAAAACACCCAAAGTAAACTCTAACCAAAACCTAACCCTAGCTCGATGTTGTCCGTCCCTCGCCTTTTCTAGCCACTTCCGTTCTTGCCGAGGCTTGTTGCTGTTGGCGGACTATCCATGTACCGCTGCCACTCTCCCTTTTCCCTACTCCACTCATCCGATTCATCTTCTGATTCCACCAACCAACCGTTTCCTCCCTTGGTTCCTGCTTGATGTGTAGGTCGGCTTGCCTTCGATACGCATCCAACCACTCACGTGGCATACGTATATAGTTCCCGTCCTCAAAGGCCTCAACCAGTCCCGGACATGGTACGTGGATGCATTGCTGGCGCCCCATGTTGCGTCCTCCTTGAGGGGCACGTCCTCAGTGGATTCCAGCAAAGTCGTGTCGAGGACTAGCCTATGTATGATGTGGTAGTTGGCTATGTCAAAGACTTCGAGGAGCTCTGCCCTCAGTCCATACCAAAACTTCCGTGCAATCATATCGGGGTCGAGAGTACATTTGACCGCATTTTTGAGCAGCATGAACTATCTATGGTATTCTCCCACAGACCTCATGCCTTGTGTTAGTCTGCAGAAACGTTCCTGCCAGTGCGCCATGGCTTTTTCCCTCAAGTGTACTATTACCATAGCCTCCTCCCGTGGCCTCCAACCCATCAGTCCCTTGCCGTGGTCTCCCTGCCACGGTCCACAGCTTTTCGGCTAGTCACGGTGACCGGCACACCAGATCGTGCCTTGAGCCGGTCACAGAAGCTCGGAGCATGGTCTAAGGGAGGCTGCCTCGTGACCTCTGGCCTTGTGTACATCACCTCGAGCCTAGGACGCAGTGGAGTCGATGTATCCGTTCTCGTACATGCCCACCGATGGATCACCGGACGTGATGCGGTGCTGAGGCTCCGTTCTCGCTGTCTACGGCTCGTTGGTGGCTGAGTGTAGTCCGGATCCTCCCTCGTGGAGATCCATAGCTTACTTCCTTCGACGCGTACCGCCGTTGGAGGCATTTTTGTGATTTCTAAGCTAGGGTTTTCTTTGTTCTGATGCTTTAGGAGAGGAGAAGATGTGAATCAAAAATTGGGAGAACCCCTTGACCAGTTATATAGGGTCGGAATTACCTCCTCTCCAAGTAAAGGGAATTTCTATTTTTTTTTCTCTTGGAGATAAATATCAGATTTCTTTTTCTGATAATTTCGAAATTCCTATTCTTTTTTTATTCCAAGATAAATATCGGATTTCCATTTTCGATATATACGAATAATTTTCGTAACTCGTACAAACAGTATCAGATTTCCTTTCTCTGATAATCACGAAAATTTCCCTTTTCCTTCTAGAAAAATATATGATTTCCTTTTTCGGATAACCTCAACTTCCTTTTTCTTCTCCCTCTAATCTCGCGGCCTCCCTTCTCCATTGGCCGCGGCTGCTAGGGTTTTGTGGAAGCTTCTAGAAGCTTCCAGAGAACTTAAGCCCCAAGGCAAAGGCTTCCAAAGTTCTATACCTCAGTTCAGACCTTAGCCCCAAAAACATAGATACTTTCG